TTAAAACTAAACCATTGTACTATATCATTCCTTTTATGAAATCCTGAGAAAGTTTTATGTTTCTTAGGGCCAGAAGCTGATACTATTACAGTACTACGAGGACTTGGAATTAAACGTTATGATACTGAACCGCATTATTCTGTTTCTTTTGTTCTGCATGGTACTGCATGAGGCTTACCGATTTTATTACCCCAATATCCTCGACGAATTGGTACTAAGATAACTTAGCTAAGATAAAAAATCTAAGCCAATATGCACATTGTTGTCACCAATTGCAATAAATTGAATCGAGTACAAGTATAATTTTTAATACTTTATTTTTTAATAATGCGCCTAAAAAGAAATAAATAATTTTAAACTTCGTAATCCGTAGATTTCCTCCAAATTATGAATTTTTCCTTCACGAACTAGGCGATTGATCAATTTTCTGACTGGTTTCCTTTTTTTAGGATACTTTTTTCCATCATTTTCATTTACTCTACCGCGGTAACGGTAACTCTTTCTCTACCACCTAGACCACGTTAGCGAAAACTACCACGGGCTGGAGCTGTGCCTGCCATTTTTATCGGTAACCAGTATACTTTAGTCGGCAACTGGTTTTTATTGTCAATGTAATTAAAAATGATATGTAAATGTGCAATCACTTTTTTTTTGAAACAACTAACGAAAATAATTGTTCGGTAAAGTCTATTTTAAACATCGACATGTTTTTAACAACTAATATATTATGGTCTAATATAGGACTGGTCAATTAGTATATCGATTGACGGTAAATTTTATAGAATCGAACGTGTGGTTCCTGAAAAGTGTTGCATAAACTCGCATTTAACTATTTTATTTATTGAGAAGCTTTATAAATGGAAGTTTTATTTTGATATTAAGGAGTGAAAATCTACCCTATAAAAAAACTTTTAATATTTAATTATATTTTGAAAGGGTAAATTATCTATCTTATGCTATAAACTTTTGAGTAATTTTGTAAGGATATGACGTTTATTTTATACCTGAAGAATTGGATTGTCGTTTCTCAGAAGTACTATGGTTTGAATATGAAAATTATATTTGTATGTTATATTAAACTCCATTGATAATTTTGTTGAAATATGAAAAGTTCTATGTTTACATAAAAAATATGAAAATTCTATGTTTTAAAAAAACCGTTGTGTGCATATTTTTTTTCAACATATTTTCTTTTTAAAGTGTCAAAAGTTCAAATTTTGCAACTTTCGATTGGCGACAACTTGAGAGGAGGTGCTGGTGGAAAATTTTTTTTCTAACGAAGTTAACTATTTATTGGTATTTAAAAGCTGCTAAAATTTCTGACATCTGCAACCTGCAGTCTAAAAGAAACACGATATCAAAAATTTGGAAAAATATATTTTAGATAACAGTTAATTTTTCTTTTTTTTAAAGCTTAAATGTGACATGCGTCTTCAAAATCTGCAAAATGCTTATGTTTTCGCTGCAATTAATAGTCAAAAAATGGCATTTTTGTGCTTTGGTGAGCTATAATTTATGTAGAGAGGCGGAGATGGGTAAACATTTTCTGGTAAAGGTCTATGTACATATGAAATTTTAGTTTTTTATCTTTAAGGGTGTAGAAGTTTTGTAAACATGTCCACGGGCGGACGAAGTGACAAAGTATATAACTAATAAGCATTTTTTTTCGAAATTTTTTTAGAAAAGTGTTAAAAAGTAAGAGCAAATCAAAAACATAGTAAGAAAAATTAAAGAGCTCATTGAACTTTGCCAAAGATGAACTAAAGAAGGAAAAAAATTTGGAGAATAAAAAAATCCATGTAAAATAAAGTGTAATGATTGCGAGAATTTTAACTGTGGCCAAACAACATGATTGTAAATATTAGTAACAACAAGATTAAAGGAGCACTAAAACGAACTAAAACAGGAAAGGAGACGGACGGGAATCGACAATTTCGTATCTGAGGTTGCTAAAAATTTATGCAAATAGTTAGAAAAAAAATACAGGATAAATACAAGAATTTACGAGAGCACGGTAACCTATCTTTAAAAATTGATATCTTAACATGTCTTTTAATTATAAATAAAGTAAAAAAAAAATTATATAGGCAGCGCTAGGTAAAATAAGGTTCTCAGTTAAACTAAAATAATGTTAATATTGTCTTAATAGAAGGAAATCAGCTTTTATAAGGTGAGTATGCTAGGAACGAAATTTATATTGGCAAAAATAAAGTTACCTATCTATTTCGAATTTAAGGAAATTTATAACATGCAAATTCCATATAAAAGTTTATTATAATTAAAAAAAATTGAAGTAATTAAAAAACATAGAACTATAATACTACATAATTTGATAATAGAAAAATAATAAAGAGAATAAGCACCTTGATACCTTTAGGGTAGAGTCGAATGCCCCATTATATATTTGTATATATACTTATGTATATATATACGTTAGACTTTTATAAGATCTTTAGGTACCCAAATACTTAACAAGAGTACAATACAAAAATATGAACATTTTTTTTGTTTGAATCATTTTGTTTATTTTTTTTATACAATACGTTGAAAATAAAAAACATGCATACATATTATATTTTTCTTAAAACACATCGAAAATATTTTAGTTCCAATTGATAACCTTTGCTTAAAAGTCAATTTACTTGATTTGAAGTACAACTTAACACTATTTATTGAGTAATTAAGATAATAAAATATTTTTTTGAAAATTTTGTTCAGCTATCAATATTTTTTAAAAGTTTCATTAATTGCGATGATGTTTTAGATACTTTCCTTTTGTTTCTTTATTTTCAAGAACAAAATTCATATTTCAATGTTGCAAAAGTAATGGATTAGCAAACTAAAGTCATAATTTATTATAATTTGCTCATTCAAATTAATTTGAAGTACCAATACTTTTGTGTTATTCAAGATTTGACGTAAATAAATTCTTGTAATTTAATGCAAAAATTTAAATAATTTAAAAATTAATATTTAACTTATTATTTAATAAATAATAAATACATTCTTTTATAGAAAACGTAACATATACCTACCTACAAAATTACATACATATATATTTTTTAAGAACTTGACGTTGAAAGTAAATTTTTAGTAACGTCTTTTTTTAATTTTAGCGTAATAAAATTAATTTAAATGAATTGCTCTCTCAGCTCTCTGAAAAAAACACATTTTTACATACACATTTATGTTATATTATATGTACATATGATTCAGTTCCCACAAAGGAATGACTTATTTACATATAACGTAAATAGAAAATTGATAAGTACATTAGCTTCAAAGTCAATATTCAATTAACCGCAAAAATATTATAAATAGAATTAATAAACGTGTTTTATGAAAATATACATAATTTAAAATAATAAAAGTAACGGTTAATTACAAAGAAATTTTTGTGCCTAAATACATATGTTTCTACCTACATACATATGAATGTATGTTCTATATGTACGAATAGAACTTCCGCGAAGCTTTCTAAATTTTTTTTTTCAAAACAATAACCTACTCTTAAATAAAAATTTTACCTTTTTCAAAAAATGTTAGTTTCAAAAAACATGAGTACTTATATTTGCACATACACGTATGTATGTTCATAGAACGTTATACCCAAACTCAGTCGTTTAAAGATTTGACCGTTTAAAAATTTACACATCTCACCTGTATAATTTATATGTAAAAAATTGAATAAATAAAAAACTGAGAAGCTTTATGATTATATGCTGTAATTTAAATATATCATGCATGCACATTGTCACCAACCATGGTTTTTATGAACACATTGTTTGTATACATACAAACTTATTATGTTATATGAGTACAAGTATTTTTTTTTCACTTTGTTAATTTCACATAAAATTCTCGATACATTTATTTTACATATTGTGTAAACTACCTTTTTTTAATTCCAAATTAAGCTGTTAAAATTTTTTTGTAATATAATCTTAATAATCAATTTCTACTTGTATTACACAGATAATAGGTATTAAAAAAAATCGTTATTATTCAAACAATCATAAACACCAATGTATTTTTGTATGAGCTAGAAAAAGCAATAATTAAAACAAAATACAAATAACAAATATTTGTAGCCTTAATACAACAACAACCATCTCATTGCTCGGTTAATACCAAACTGATATTATACTGAATCTTTTGTTTCTATGAAAATAAAATAAAAATAACATAGCTATCCCTGTTTTACTTAATCGAGTTTTTATATCATGGCTATACAGTTGTATGTAAAGTAAAGGAAGTATAATTTACGGAAGGGTTGCGTTACGTGTGTATAAATATGTATTAAATATAACGTAATGAAAATATTAAAAATGAAGATCAAGGGCATAGGATTATAGAAAGGGTATTACTGTTACTCACAATTCATGTGTTCTTTATGTGGAAATATTTGTATGTACATACATATGTACGTAGAAACTCAACGCTTAACAAAAGGACCTATAAGTTTAACTAATAGGCCTGTTGCTTAACATAATATGTACATACCATGTATATGAATGAAGTATTAGCAAAATTATATACATACTTATATATTATTTATGTCAACACAAAAAAGAATTATCTCATTGAATTTGTCATTGCCCATTATAATAATGCTTTTACTTGCAAAATTTATATCCATTTACCGGCGCAGTAATTATCATTGTAGTTGATTTGAAATGATTATACATCAAAAAATATAAAAATCTTTACACGTCTCCTCGTAACGCTTTAGCACCTGTATAATGCTCATGAATAGTATGTCTATTATGAAGCTCGCCCAGAATACATTAATATTGAAATCAAACTACTACTACACTGAACTTACTACACTGAATTTATATTGAATTTGAGGAAATACATACAAATCGAAGTGTATACAAATTTGATATTTGTTTCTTTTTTTAATAAATAAAAGTATCGGTTAAAAAATTACTTATATTTGATAAGTGCATGTAATAACATAAAACCATACGTTGAAAAAAGTTACGTACTAATCTGTCTTCTCGTCAAAAAATTACTTTATTTCAATAGATAATTAAGGTATAATTTATTTCAAAAGACAGATAATTTGATATTTTTCCTTGTTTTATTTATGTTTTCGTTGATTTTTAAATTTCATTTTCTTTGGCTGGGGCGGTTCCTTCTCATTTTCAGTGTCCAAATTTTTTGCACCAGTTTTTAAAGAAACAACACATGACTTTGATTTTTGTAGAACACTTGACCATTCTTCATTAGTCCCTTTAATTACATATTTCTGCAAAGCGCTTCTTTTCAATGCCCTTAATTGCTCCTTTTGTTTTTTAGCCAACAATTTTGCTTCTTCGTCTAATTCATCTCCTAAGGAATCTTTTAGTGGGCTGATTTTTTCACTAAAATTTGTATGATCAATTATTGTTTCTTCAATTTGCCCTTTAAGAATCTGATGAAATTCTCTACTGATTTTCGATAATAAGTCGTGAAATTTAGCTAATATTTGATTCCCAGCTAAATTCATCTCCTTGGCTAAGTTATCAACTGTTTTACCTTGTAATCCTATGCCTAGTAAAATTGCCTTTTGTAAGGCATCAAGTTTAATGCTCTGTAATTTACATTCAAAATACAACTGAGCTATGCTAAGAAACAAATCAGCTATAAGTTTATATTCGACTAGATTTTTGGCGTATGCTTCCAATCTTTGCAAATCGTGCGGTAAAAAGTACATATTTAAAATGGTTGCATCAATTTTTATTTCATCTATTTTAACTGCTTTGTTATCTAATACTGATAAACTTAGGTGAGTAGGCAAGCCTCTAAAAGCGCTTGATAATAACTTAATGATTCTCCGCCGGAAATCTTGGAAATATAACGATAACCAATTACCGTTTATAGTGCTACTACCACCTTTTGTAAGATCGGATATCATTATACAAGAATGCTCCCCTGTTAATTCGTTTTCCTTCTGGCTTATATAAACTGGAATGAATTTTTGAGACTTCCAGAATTTCAAGAGATCCTTTGTTAATCCATAAGAAGTTCCTAAATATTCTAAGGGTTCAGCAGCTCGCTCTGTTAGACGTTTAAGCAGTGTGGGAATATTCTCTCTTGGTTTAATAATTTCCTGCAGTAAATTTACTTCATTTTCCTCAATTTCTTTAATTCCATCAACAATGTATTGCTCGTAGTTTTCATCTAAATTAGTAAATTTTTCTTCATAATAATCACGTAACAATTCCAAAGCCCTTTTACCGTATCCCATTCTTTGATAGTTTGGATGTGTTGCGATACGAACTATTCTTGCTCCAGATAAATTGGGGAATTCACTATCTTGAAACTGTTCGGCTATAGTCCAAGGTATTAAATCTCCGGCAGCTTTTTTCCCTCTCGAAAATGATTCCTTAACGCTTTTGGACGAAATTTTTCCTTCCAAAGCGATCTGTATAACACATAAAAGCTCTGGAAGTTGGTCCTTCTTTTTCACAGGTCCTACTAAGCAAAATAAATTATGAGCAGGAGCGTCACTCATTATTTGTAAATCATTTGGGCTGTTTTTATAATGTGAAGCGACATAAATTGAAACAATTCTATGCAAAAATAACTCAGCCGCTTTATGATATGAAAATAATGCATCCCGGTCTATATAATACAGCTCACAAGTATCTGGAGATGGACAACTCGATTCAATAAATGGCAAATCTGCGGCGTTTAAACAAAGCAACGAAATCAACCATTCCTCAATGTCGTCACCTGCATTGTACCTTATGGAGTCATTAAGTTTAATGGGTGGTGGCGCATTATTGTCTTTTTGTAATTGATTAAATAATTTCAAACTTAATGATCGACCAGTTCCCTCATAACCATTTATGGTAGACGACATAAAAACAACATAAGATCCTAGCATTTTTTTTATAAGTGGTAACGGAATAGCTGCTGCCTCATCAATCACTACAAAATCTGCAGAATTGAGGAGATGTCCATCAGTTGGCAAAAAATATTGTATTGTTTGTTTATTTCCATGAGTAATATTTATTCTTATAATGGCTTTTCTAAAATCTGGATTGGTAGAGCGGACTATTGTGTAATCTATATGTTCTTGGTATTCAAGAACGTCAAAACCTTTTAGCACAAATTCAAATAAGGTTATTAAGTTTTCTGGATGTGGTGATGTTACAAAAACGTTTACATAACCGAAACTTATAGCTGCAGCTATTGCTAATCCCATAGCTGCAGATTTACCTCTACCTCTTGCTGCTGTTACACATGTAGGTGGTTTTAACTGTTTTTCTGCTAAGAGCTCTATTAACTGGATAATTGCTTTTGCTTGATCATAGGTTTTACATAAGTTTACTAAAGGTCCCGCTGGAACTACCTCTTTTAAATTTTCTTTTAGATCTTTTAACATATCACATTTTTCGTTTTTAATTATAGCAACATTTACGGGTTGAATTTCGATAGTTTTAGAACTTATTGGGAGAACAGCTAATTCATCGTTTAACACCAAGCATCGTTTGCACTCTGCTAGAGAAAGTATTAATCTTTCATTAAAACGACACGTAACAGTCTGATGTGCTTCAGTTCGAAATCTTTTGTGAACATCCATCGACATTGTATATAACTGCTTTAAAGATTGTACTGTTTTAAGCAAAAAAATAATCATACCACCACCTTCGACAGTTTCTATTGTTCTAGCCATCAGATTAGGAGTTAAAGCTTCAAAGTCCTGTAAAACACATACTCCATATGTTTTACCTAAAATAGTGTGTGTATCTGAATAGTATCGACCATGAATAGTTGTGGAAACTCTAAATGCGTCAAACATATCAGTATCGTTTATATCTATTTTGCCCGCCTTGATTTTTTTTATTCGTTTTTGACCGTGACTTGAAATGGCCTCGTCCTTGTTTTTATAACACCATAAAACTATTGGCCGAGATTTAACGGATGATTTACACAATATATCATACAGGATTGGTACCTGATCTCTGGCTTTATCCCCGATAATAAAGAACATAGTCCGATGTCCTAATTTAACCCCATTTTCAATCATAACACGTATTCTATTATCAATTTTTTTTTTTACCATTTTTAAATCAATATTATTTTTAATTAGATTTTTAATACTTAATGTTTTCTAAAAATAAACAAATGAAATGCACGTGTTTGATATTTTAGTTGACATGTAAAAATGACATGATTGTCAAATAATGATTTGGCATTTATAGGATTTGTGATTGTTGAAAAAGATTTTGCAAGACGTTTTATCGAGGCAGTCGACGAATTTTACTGTATATTTAAAATTAATGCTTTTCGGAAACCTTTTCAGTCGTTTACTTTTTTTTTGCATTTCGTTGTATACTTTTACTTACTATTTAATTTGTAAGTCAGGCTTACACTATAGATATTTGCAAATAGAAATTAAAGATAATCGCTAATTCGACAAAATAAAATTTTATTGTGAAAATTGACATTTCCTTCATTTTTAGAGCAAATTCAAATTTGCCAAAAAATAGATCTGTATTAGTTTTTTGCCTCAGAACCAACCAACGAATTAGAAATACTAAAGGAAGAAACGTCTTGAAAAAACAATGAAATTTTTCTGATTGTTTTTTTCTTTGCTCCGAGCATAGTCAAAGTTGTAACAAGAGCGTATTTATTTTATTTTAAATTGAAACTACAACATATTTCAAAACATTTTTCCATTTTAAATATCTGCAAAAAAAATTCAAATTTAAACAAAACTCATTATTTTTTTTTTCTCATTGAATAAATTTATTTTACGAATTATAAAATTATAAATTTTGGTAAAATATTTGAAATGCAAACTTCTTTATTAATGATTCCAATTCATTTTCTTTTCATTTCATTACTTCTAAGAAAACTGTAATTATATAAAAAAAGGCAAATTAAAATATGGTATGTATACTATATTTTATCAAATGCAAACTAGAAAAACTTTTGCTTAGAAAAAAAATCTGGTCCTGGTAAAATTATGGCATCCGAGATAATTTTAATTTAAAACAAAACATACATATGTTTCTTTTACAAAATTAAAAATTTAATAAAATTAGAAATTGTGAATTAACCAAAGCATTATTGAATAAATATTCCTTTTAATTGTTGAAATGTATAATATTCACATGTATATGGCGTAAAAAACTATTTATTTTTGCAAATGAGAATAACAATTTTAAACTATACACCTTTTTTTTTCAACAAATTTTTTTCTTTTTTTTACTTGTTATAAGTTTTTATAAAATAATATTCATTTTTTAACACTTATTATTAAATGTTTTAAAATTTTTTATTTACAAACTGCACTAATTTTATAAATAAAAAAAACAAAATTTTCTTTGTTTACTTTTTAAATGGCAGCGTGTAATTTTCTAAGAAAAAAAAAACAAGAATACTCGTATTTGGTATTTAATGTTAATTTCAATTTGACAATGCTCGGAGCAAAGAAAGAGACTTACCTGAAGTTTTTGGCTTCACTATATTTCTTTTAAGATACGATTTTTAAGGAGTGTAAGCGAGATAGAAACGAAGATGTTCCTTCTTTTAGTATTTCTAGTTCATTAAGCCCAACGAACTAGAAATACTAAAAATGAGAGCGTCTTGAAAAAACAATGAAGCCGAATTATTTCTAGTTGTCTCTCTCTTTATTCTAAGTATTATCAAAGTCGTAACAGGAGTGTAGTTTTTATTTCTTATCCGACCTCTACTATAAAATATGTTTAATTTGTAAGATAAGTTAAAAATTTTTTTTTGGAGTAAAAACCAAAAACTTTTTCAACGGTTTCTTTTTATATTTCTTTGTTGACCAAATTTTTACTTCATATGGAGAAATATTACAAAACAATTCCCATTCAAAAAAAATATTTATTACATACATTACTAAATATTTATTACGTATGTACATGTATTAATACAAAATTAAGTAAAGCATTTTGCGTTAAATAAATTTCACCATACAAATTCTTTAATTTGGAAAACTGTTATATAAAAAAAAGTTCATTTTAAATATGGTATATGTATATGATACATTTTATTAAACATAAACTATTTTGCTAAATTTGGTCAACATAAATTTTGTTATCTTAATATTCGATTCTCGTTAATCAAAATTTAGTACGTGGTAAGTAATATTTTCATTTACTACATGTTAATAAATTTTAAGCAAATATCATTTTCACAAATTTTTTACCTTCACTGCCATTTTTTAATTTTATTTAGTTATGAAAAATGAAATAATTACATCTAAAGATATTATTTTTGGTTTAATTTTTTTTTGTAATAGCGGAATCAACATTTTGTTCGCTTTTTTACATCCATTTTTTTTAATAGTTCATTTTTTTCAATATGTTACGCAAATTTCAAAATAAAGTTAACTTTGTTCACAACCTATAGTGTCAAATCAGTGGACAGAAATGTTTTTGTTATGATACCTTAACTTCTAAAATACGGTGTTAATACACAATTCAGCTTATAAGTATGAATTGCTGAATTCCGTATTAACACAAAATTACTGCATTTTCGATGCCAAGTTTTGTATATGTTACATTGTATATGATATATGTATTCATAAAACTATCAGAAAGTCTAAAAAATTTTTTGTAAATGGAAAATACATATGTATATACAAAATAGAAAATACGTATATCGTAAACTATGAATTATTTTATTAAAATTAAATTAAAAAATAATTCATTTGGTTCTTGTTATTTATTCATTGCGGACTTTTTCTTTTATGATTTGCAGCTTTGGTATACAATTTTAGATTAACCATTACTTTTTTTATGAATCAAACGCTAATAAATATATACTACAAAATATGCACAGCAGTTTTATCCAATTCTTGTCAATTTTAAGTTGTTTTGATTTAAAATTAAATCAAAAGAATAATAAGTTTTCAATGAAGAAGAAACCAAGGAAAACTAGGAAGACTAGTATACGTGTGCTATCCCGTGATAGTCAAATTAAAATGCTTAAAAAACAATTTAAAAAAAATCATTACAAATACAATTTAAGAAAAAAATAGTTTTAAAGTGGTCAACAGAAAATTGATAACACGATACTTATGATTAGGGTTGCCACATAATGACAGGCTCAAAGTAGGACATATAACAAAAAAATCACATAATGACAGGCTCAAAGTAGGGCATATAACAAAAAAAAAAGTCAGTATTATTTGTAAATCAAATATTTTTATTGATTGTGTCTGAACTTATATTTTTTATCACTTTTTGCACATTTCAATAACTCAGTGTCATATTGTATTTTTTCATAAAATTGCAGGCAACTAATTTTTGAATTGACACTAATTAGAAGTTCTGCTCTAATAAGTTCAGAAGAACACCTGTTTCTTTCATCTGTCCACTTATTATTCATAATCGAAAAAACACGTTCAATAAACGACGATGAAGCTGGAATGCTTAAATATTATCGTTATTCGATATTGTATTTTTTAAAATAATACTCCATTTATCGGGTAAAAAAATGGTTTAAAGTTTAAAAGTAGGACAATTTTGCTTTCATGTAGGACGTAGGACAAATTACGTGATTGTAGGACTGTCCTACCGAAAGTAGGACGCGTGGTAACTCTACTTATGATTGAATATAAGTTAGGATATGGGATTGTTCTTTATAATTGAGGATATATCAGAGATCAGATACAATTTTATGTGATATATTATGTAACTCTTGAAGAAAAATAGAAATTAGCAAAGGTGGCGGCATGATTATATAAGTATTATATCTTAAAAGATTTGAGAGGATACTAAGAAGATATTTAAAGCGAGACCTTTATTAAACTTATTTGAAACCATTATTCAGGTTTTTTTCGATTATAGCTTTTAACTATAACTGCAGCTATAAATTTCGATTTTGTAAATGCTTCCAACTTGTACACATTCAGAAAACTTGATAATTATCTTGCTTGAATATGTTTTTAAAGGCTTTGATGTTCTTTAATAAAAGAACACCGACTATACGATAGTCCGTTCTACCAATTAAGATTTTAGAAAGGCATTGTAATAATAAATACAAGTAATAAAGATAAGTAAAAAAAACAAATAAACTACATAATTATATAAGTTATCACCGTCTTTAGTTACATATTCAAGTGGTATCAAATTACATCTTCAGTACGATACTAATTTCTGTTCACATGAAAATTGCTGACACAGCGTCTGCAATCGAACATGTTTAAACATGAAGAAATTACGAAATTATCGTTCCCATCAAAAATGCTGACGAAACGTCTATAATTTTGCACGAGGCCGGAAATGAACTTAATTTTAATTACTATAAATACTGTTAGATTTTAAGATATGATTTAGTCTAAAATTGGTGTTAATAAGAATAGAACATTATAATTAAACTATCAATTCGAATTTAAGTAATTGTAAAATTTAATTTTTAAGTAATAGTTGTGACATTGTGTGAAATAAAATTATTTTTTTATAATCGAATCAAGATAGTTTAATAACTGGCGCCCAACGTGACTTGAATCGTGAAATCGCAAAACTCTTCGTTAAATTTTAAAAGAAAAGAAGAAAAATAAGCATATCGCGATAAAAGTGTACCCAACTATAGTGCGCGTATTGTGGAAATCCGAAGTGAAATAAAAAGAAAAAGGAACTGAAGCAAACCGTACTTACAAAAAAGTGTTGAAGATTGTGCCGCAGTAGGACGTTTACGAGAATAAAAGTTCACGTCTAAAAAGGACAAACACAACTCAACCGCTATTCGCATTACTCACCAAGACTCAAACAGATGAATTACGTTTTTTTCCTGTAAGTAGTTTTTCATTACACTTAATCTTAAAAACTTAACTGAGGGAAACTAACTGCATCTCACTGAATAAGCTTTAAAAATATAGAAGCTTCGTTAATTTTAAAAAAATTAAGATTTAAAAAAATTGAAGTGATAAATGAAAATTAAATTGAAAATTTGAAAAATTAATCAATTAACCGATAATAAATTGAAAAATTAAAATTTAACCAATAAATATTTAATACAAAAAATAAAACAAAAGTAATTAAAAATTTAAATGAAACCAGTAAAAAATTAATAAGATTAACCAATTAAATTTTATATTACCAAGAAATATTTAATTAAAAAATAAAACAAAAGTAATCAGAAATTTAAATAAAACCAGTGAAAAAT